TAGTAAATGAATTAAGTAATTTGCAAGTTACTCATGAGCTATTTAATTTAAGTTACATTAACGATTTATTAATTTAAGTAGAAAAAATTCGATTTCTCTAAAATAAAATCTTGAATTTGAGTTTTATAAATAAAAAAACAAGCGTTTAGAGAATTTCTTTTTTATAGGATTTGACACAATTCAATTTTCAATTAGTTGAGATATAATATGATTTTTAAATACTAAAATATTAGTAAAAAAAATTCAATTTAAACTATTTCAAATTTAATAAATAATTAAACTCAAATTCAAGCTCTTATATCAGGGCTCGCGAGCTCTCCTATCTAAGCTTGGTTTGTTTTGCTAAACTAGTAGAGGTGGACCTCCATTTCTAAGCTTATTGTATTCTCTCATGGTATTAAAGTTTGATCTTTAATTGTCACAAGGTACCCAATTAAAATATGAACTTATTACCCAAAAAGTCAAACTGGGGATGTAGCTCAGATGGTAGAGCGCTCGCTTAGCATGCGAGAGGTACGGGGATCGATACCCCGCATCTCCATTCATATTATTTTATTTCTTTTTTTGTTTTGTTCATTTTTCCCTCCCATCTACCCTCACATCACTTATTCTCGAGAAAGGAAACCCAAACAAAGATCTCCATCTGTTTCCTAATTCTGTCACCAACGCTAATCACATTCGCACTGCTTCTTGACAAAACGGGAAAAACTTAATTCTCATCAACTCCTGAAATGAACTACAAGGTAGCTCACCTGTACTCTCCTCTTCAGTCAAACTCATCTCCACCCACCTTCCTGTTTTCTTTCTCTTTTTTCAATCACACAAAACCGCAACTTTGGTTATAGTTGAATAATCCTCCTTATATTTAACCCGCATTAAATATTTGATAAAAAAGTATGTGGGATAAATACTAAAAGAATTACTTTACTTATTGTCAATTAATTTTAAGTTTAATGCAAATCTTGTATTGACCCAATATGCACAATTTTCAGTTAGTATTAGAGCGATCATCTCTTGCAAATATGGACTTATGTTGACCATTTTCAATTGGTATCAAAGGATTACCTCTTGCAAGTGTGGACTTATGTTGATCATCATGACTAATGGTAGTATGGATCTCACATCACTTGAGGTGGATTCTGTGTTTGTGACCCAATGAACCTAGTTCTAATTGTACTTGGACTTGATGAGAACATCAAGCATTTACGTGGGGTGGTGTGGATCCCATATTGCTTGAAGTGAATCTTGATATCACTTAAGGTAAATCCTATGCTTGTGGCTTAGTGAACCTAGTTTTAATTATACTTGCCTATATCACTTCAAGTAAATCTTGTGCTTGTGGCTTAGTGGAGCTAGTTTTGATTATACTTGTCTATATCACTTGAGGTGAATTTTGTGTCTGTGGTCTAGTGGATCTAGTTCTAAATATATTTGGGCTTGATGAGGACATTAAGAGGAGAATGTACTGCCTCAAATTCCACATTGGTAGAGATTGCAAGTGAATCTGACGTATAAATATGAAAATCAACTACTACTAACAATTTAAACTTAAACTTTTATGAGTTTGTGGACCTTAGCCCAAAAATGAAGTATTTTATGTTGAACCCACATGCACAGTTCCTTGTGTTTCAACAACAAATTGGTACGCAATTCATTCCACATTAGTTCAGCTTTTGCTTTGGTGTAATGAGGATTACAGCTACAGTGGGTGTAATGAGGAAAACAGATTGAAAGAGGCAATAGAGCTCTTCTGTACTGGACGTTGCTTGGGTGAAACAGAGTCAGTTCTCAGTTGTGTTGATAACATTTTCTCAAACTTCATCTTCTACAACAGTGCAACCGTCCAGGTCATAAGAAATGTTCTCCATGAAGATTGCAGCTTCAATAGACATTACTATGTATGTGTGTGCATATATATATATATGTCAATCTTATTCTCCACTCCAAATCTCAGATTTGACAAAAGTGTATGTCTCTCCAAGATGTGTAAGATGATGAATGCTAATTCCACAGGGAACTACAACGTGGGAGATTACCTCCTGGGTGATGGCGATATAAGCTCTGACGATAGATTATCTATCTTTTTCTGCTTCACTGCACTTGCATTGATCATCGGTGTTATATCTTGCTCTTCTAGTTGCTCTATGGCCATGAAAGAGCCCCAAGAATTCAAGAATGGATTAACAAAGAAAAAGAGAACGAAAAAGGGTCTGTTTCAGATACAATGTCTGCCATATTTTCACCTTGTCACAATGAATCTTCATCAATTCAAAATCTAAAATCTATGTTACATAGATTCCAATAGACAGTATGAAAATTGTATGTATGTACGGTTTTTTTTTTTTTTTTTTTTT